AAAAAATATACTGCAGCAAATAAAAAATATACTGCAGCAAATAAAAAATATACTGCAGCAAATAAAAATATACTGCAGCAAATAAAAAAATCAGAACGCAAAGAAAAAAAGTACCGCAGCAAATAAAAAAATGCAACGCAAACAAAAAATACTGCAGCAAATAAAATATGCAACGCAAACAAAAAAAAAAAGAAAACGCAAACAAAAAAAATTGGAACGCAACGCCAAGGAAGACTGGGTAATAGTTCTTAGTTTCCCGCCAACACTCGTTCCATCCTTTGCTTGTTCACCTTTCCGAAACCATGTTTTGCAGCGAACTTATGACAGTACCATGCTGCTCCTTTAAAAAATCGATAATAACTCTATTTTCATACCCTTGATGAAAGTAATCTTCTATAATCCTACGCAGATCGCTTTCGTCCATAGCCAAAAGCGAGTTCCAGTTCATGCTGTTTTGGCGGGAAACTAAGAACTATTACCCAGTCTTCCTTGGCGTTGCGTTCCAATTTTTTTTTGTTTGCGTTTTCTTTTATTTTGTTTGCGTTGCATATTTTATTTGCTGCAGTATTTTTTGTTTGCGTTGCATTTTTTTATTTGCTGCGGTCCTTTTTTTCTTTGCGTTCTGATTTTTTTATTTGCTGCAGTATATTTTCATTTGCTGCTGTATATTTTTTATTTGCTGGAGTATATTTTTTGTTTGCGTAGTAATGGCTTCGACTGCTAAAAACGAAGGTACGTTTTCCAACGCTTTCTTAACATCAATACATGAAAAATTGAATCCTTGTTAAAAAAAAATAAATGTAGCATTGATTGGGAAGTATTTCATATTCCTGTGCAGCAATATTTCGTTAATCAAGATTCCTATCTCATCTGAACCTAACAAGTTCTTGAGTGGCAAACTTTCGCAGACTGTTAAACTCAACGTCCAAATGTTTTCTCCAAAAACGGCGATCACGACCCCACACCTCCGCTGGATAACACGGACTATCAATACCGTGAAATATTCGCGCAACAGCACGACCTGTAAACGAGTGATCGTGATGGACCCCAAGTAAGGCTCTGATATCCCGTGCAATACCGTCCCAATTCACGTGATCATTACGCTTGATACTGGAGGGGACAACCCTAGAGGCTTTTCTGGCTTCTGCCAAAGTTGCAAGTTCCTCCTTTGTTTTGTTGTTGCAATCCTTAAAATAGCTTTTGACAATTCGTTTGAGTTGGTTATCAGCTTCCTCGTCTACAGCGTCAGCGCATTGCCAAAACTCCGAGAACGAAACGCTTTTAAGTGAGTCATAGACGAACTGGAGCTGGTGCAGTTGAGTTCTTTCTTCGGCCAGAATGCGATCCTCGAGGAAGTCACAAATACTGTCACGCTCTGCGTCCGAGAGGTCCCCAGGCGCTCTAACATGTATGGACAGATCCGAGAACTCCACTAAGATCCCTGATTGCCCCATGTTTGAGAGAGAATTATCGCCTGACAATGATGTGTTCCACTGAAGTGCTCTCAATTCACGGCAAACTGGCGCTAGGTCCCAGCCCATCTTGTCAGCCAACTCTACCACTGGGAAAGTTAATGTTCCTGATTTTTTAAAACTAGCAGGCGTTGTACTGGTGTGCGACACGGCAGCAGCAATTGGTGGAATTTTCCTTGCCACTTCCCTCAACTGCGCATAACCACCGTAAAACTTCACCGTGCAGGTTGATTTGACTGGCTGCAGTACTTCTAGCCAGCGGCAAGGATGCAACTCCAAGTAGCAGAGTAAAGTAGCAATGCTTTCTTCACGGAGGTCGAGCTCTTGAACGACGACGTCTGTCACCATAGCAACAGAGTGACCGCCACATACGCGATGAGTATTCACATGCTCAGCTGAATGAAGATTGTTGCCAGCAAATTCTGTGGACTTCGCGCTTGCCTGAAAGTCACAAGCAGGATATGAGTCTAAGGTTCCTTTGACACTATTTTCAAGGCTGGGATACTCGATATTGTCATCGTTTGGAGGATCACTATCTTGTTCATCTAACTTCAGATTTGAATCACTTCCTTTTTCTCCTTCTTCAATTTGTCTTCTATCAGTATCGTGTTGCGCTTGAGTCTCCACCTACCTCTGGTACTGTTGCTCAACAGCTTGCAATTCAGCTTCCAAGTTGGTTTCTAAGATGTCGTCATAATCCTCTTCTAAATCCAAATAGTCGTTCATATCACTCTCTGCCGCAACCTGTTGCCGTTGTTGTTTCTGAAGTTCTCTACACTCACAACGTGGAAATGTCCGTTGGACCAGCTTCTTAAGAGAAGAGCGGTCCACTGTGTTGGCATAAACGTGCCGACGAAGTTCACACATGTCTTTACCCTATTAATTAAAGATAATTTAAGACACAGATAAGTAGAACACAGATAAGACACAGATAGGTAGAACTAAGGTGAGGTAGTCAATTTCAACTATAACATACTGTGAGCCTAAAGCTGGAGTAAAAAAAAAAGGAATATCTTCTACGTCCAAGCTCCTACTGATCACAGATATAAAGCCGTAAGATGTTCAAAACTTTGATTCAAAACACTTTCGTGCAGCCCGTAGCCCCACCTTGAAAACGCCATTCTTAGAATCAAAGAAAATCATTGAAAAATTGAAGTCGATCGATAAAACTCTACTCTGAGACTGATGGAGAACTGTCCAAACATTCAGTACCGCATCAGCGCTCTACACACCTCGGGATCCAGAAATACGTGACAGTGCGAGGGATTCCCGTCCCGTCCCGCACGGCCAATCTCCTGCACATAACTCTCAAAGCTGCGCGGTAAGTTGTAATGGATAATAGCTCGAACATCTGATTTATCTAGACCCATGCCAAATGCTACAGTCGCCACCACAATGCGCAGCTGACCTGTCATGAAGCGCTTCTGAACACGACGTCTTTGGGCGGCAGACAGCCCGGCATGGTAGCATTCGGCATCCCATTTGGGAACAGCGGCTTTGGCTGTCTTCTTCTTTCCTTTCCTACAGAGAAGAAAATACACGCCTGTTTGTAAAAAAAATATCTACAAAATCTTGACAAGTTAACTTCACTAGCTAAACGTATACTGCAAGTAATTTTGTGCGTTTCTTGATGCGCGCAGTACAAAAAAAAAAAAAAAAACGCTTGGATTTGATCACGTACCTTTGAAAACCAAAAGCACTGTCAAAAACTAATCAAAAGGATTGGATGAAATAAGAAAACCGTATCGATAGCTATCGTTTCTTGTGGACACAATCCTTAATTTTCACTGCAGAAGAGAAATCCTCACCCTTCGGATTTCTTTTTAGTCTCCCCAGGCTTCTCTTCCACGTCCACTAATTCTTCCTGGCCGTTCCAACCTGACGCCAGCCTGGTGCTCTGTAAGCACGTGCGTAGGGTCGAAGCCAGCTTCTCAGTCTGTTCTCTTCTGGTGCAGTAGATTATAATTGAATCGCATTGTGAGAAGCGCCGACCTTGAAGCAACTGCAACAATGCCTGGGGGAGGCACATAAGAAGCTAATCAGAAATCGAAGGAAGCACACAACTGATTTCAAGCGCGAGAAAAAAGGAATAAAAGTCGTGATTGGTTCCAGTGATGCACTTAATTAGTTGAGATGACAGTGCAACATATCTAAGACAAATAGAGATCGGAGTAAAAATAAAAAAACCAATAAAATTCTGGATCACTTTCGAAACAAAACTGAAAGAGGCTTTATCAGTCTATAGCGTGTTTGGCCCCCATTTTGTAAATTATGCATCTGAGCTGTTTGTTTTTGGAGAAGTTTTTTTAATATTAAGGGGAGAAATACACCTGAACGTCCACGTTAAGGCCTTGATTGAAATGACACACGCCTGTTAAAGCCTTCTTTTTGAGGTAACAAAATTAAAGCGGTTATTCTCCAAAAAAAGTTGATCAGAAACTCGAAAACAAATATGTTCAATTAGCATAGGAAAAGAAACTTCCGATGAAGTTTGATGATAACATGTTCTCTCTGTACAAGTCAAACAATTGTTACCTGCTGCTTATTACTATCACATGACACAGATAAGAACAAGTTAGGTGGTACAGCTCCACCTCTGATCACAGCCTCGGGATCATGTACAATCCCCAGGTGCTCAGCGACCGAAGCAGCTGTTGCACGTGTGGCAGTGGCTGTCAATCCTAGAAAACAACGCACGCCAAACTTCTCCCGAAGGACCTTTGAAAGTAAGGAACGATAATATTACTGCCACAGTACAAATCCTTACTTAGGAAAGCTTTCACGACTTACAAGGAAAACAACTGGTTTGTAATTTCGAATTTATAGTACGTGTACCCTACAGCAAATTAGCCTATTCATACACATCCCATCTTTCACCCCCTTACATAAATAGTAATTAAAATTTTAGTGCATTGATCTAATGTAGAAAGAAAAAGTAATCAGCAATTTCCAGAGTGAAAGTTCCATTTGGCACGGCGAAAAACCACATTACAAGAATACCATGAACTTGATCTGACCTTCAAAGTGCAAGATCATGAACATAGTACGTCTGTAATATTGCAATGAAGCGCTAACCAGGAATCTATGGACCACCAGTCGCTTATTTTCCCTTTAATGCATCGAGTACCTCCAGTGGTAACTTCAAATATCCACACCCATGTCCAACTTCGTATAGGTAATCACACGATTTCGAGTGCAATTTGGAATAAATAAACACGAGTAAATTTTTTCAAAGACTAACAAAATTGCACTCGCCCTACGGGCTCATGCAATTTGTGGTCTTTGAAAAAATTTACAAGTGCTTATTTATTCCAAATTGCACGAGAAAATCATGTGATTATGTATTAAAAAAAAAAAAAAAAAAAAACGAGGCAGCTTCTCATAACTACGCAGAAGAAAAGCGCGCGCATCACGTGCAAAAATAATTTATTCAAACCCTGCAAGTGACATTGACCAATCATTCTGACCAATCAGAATGTCTGGTTTGTTTTTTTCTTTGCACTGAATTAACCCTCTTCTGCACTGAATTAACTCTCCTCTGCACTGAATTAACTGAAAACTGCATTCATCTTAACCAATCAGAACTGAGAGTTTTTTTGATGTATATTGTTAACCCTTAAACACCCAAGATCTGATTGTTCATTCTCCCCCCTAGTTGCTGCACATTTCCTTGTACATAAGTTACAAGAGTTTTAAAATACTAGATCATGATAACAACTTCTACTCGATAAGTTTGAGTATTCTCAGAACCTGGTTGCTGGAGAATGTATGGATATTACAGGGAGAGGTTACTTGTTAATCACTTCTGAGAGCTCAAGGGAAGCCCCTACATGTTCGAGGTTACTAGATTTCTCAGGGTGAACCAAACATAGCAATGGACAAAACTGGTATGATTACATGAATAAAAAAAATGACAAAAACTCCACTCAGTAGTTATATCATGAGAAAATTCCGACTGTAGCTGATTACTACTATTTTTATTTCAAACACACCTTGCAAACTCTAAGGTAAGAGGGTCGAAAGTTGTGCGACCACTCGGAAACACAGTGAGCTTCATCTATACAAGCAAAAGCAATCTGTGGTAGCTGTGAAACAGAAGGAAGGCACCCATTTCCTGAACCCCCTCCTACCAGGGCCTCAGGGGAGAGCAGCAAGACGGACACCTTACCAGAGTACAGATCCTCTACTACCTTCTGACGTTGGGCTTTTGTGAGGTTTGTGTGAAGACAGGCACCTTTTAATCCATGAGGAAGACCACTAATCTGAGAAAAAGTGTTTTTATGTTGTACCATTAATTGCTCAAAACTAACATTCCCATTTTTTCAAAGAGAGAGGTTTCATCTCCCTTAGTTGGGTAAAAAGTTGACACACTAAACGAGCGCTTGAATGAATGCCAGGTTTTGGAGTGAAACAAGGAATAAATTACAAATGTAAATAGTAACAAAGAGAGCAAAAACATCAACTTCATGCAATAACGTAAGTGCACATACTCTTTTCAAGCTTGTGCATGCACCCCGCCCATTCATTATACTATATTTTTTGCATCTGGGTGTTAACTGCACAGTAAGCCCTTTTGTCCATCAAATTGAATGCCCTTACAGTTATGTAATGTGTGAAGTCTTTTTGGCTAACTGGCAACAGAATTGACTGAGCTTTATCCAATGCCTGATGCAATTAAATCCTTGAAAAGCATGAATATTCATGTTACAAAAAACAGAGGAAAGGAAGGCTTAATACGTTTTTTGTGCACAGGAAGAGAGATTTTACATGTACTACTCTCTGGTGTGGATGAATGGTTTCCTCAATTTAACATATCTCAATTCCAACAAAAAAAAAAACAAAAAAAAAGAAAGAAAAAAAAGCCCAAAGTGATTAGATTTTAATTAGCACACCATGGTGCAATGTCTAGAATTAATACCTGATCCTCCATGAGAGAAACAAGAGGTGAAATAACCAGTGTTAAACATGGTGAGCGTTGGGTATACATAAAGGCAGGAAGCTGGTAACAAAGAGATTTACCAGCTCCAGTGGAGAGCACCACAAGTGATGACAGCCCTGGAATAAAAAAAAAAAAATTATAAATTGCAATCAAAATCATTAAACACCATAAGAGCCTCTAGAGTACATGAAAGATGAAGTAATAAGGGATTAAATGAATAATTTGAGAAGAATGGTTAACTACAATTTAATGTGTAATAGAACTGTGGCAAGAAATATACTAAAAAAGAGCTCTAAACTTACCGCAAAGGATTCTCATGACAGCTTCCTGTTGTCCTGATCGGAATGTTGAAAATCCTAATTTCTCCAAAGAAGACAACACTTCATTTGTTACCTCTGAAATACAAATTTAGCAATGAAATGTTATATTAGTAGTTTAACTGTTTGGCTTTCTTAAGCTGATCAAAAGTTTCATGTAGCACATACATTACTAATAGTGAACTTGCATCACTTAATTCTATTTTTGCAATTATTTCTTGCCCAGTACAATTTGCCCAGTGACTGTAAATCCACCTGTCACTCCCACAGAAGCTACACAGAGGTTTGATGCAGTTTAGTGCGAGCAATTGCTGAGGTTACAGAAAATTTTCCAACTGATAAATACCTATTCCAGTTTTACTTACCTACAGGCTTTCCATCCACTGGCTGGTAGAGTGGCTCCACTACTAGGGGAGGGGTGGGTGGAATGACCACTGGCCTTGGTAGTTTATGAGGTAAGATGACAAGATTTTCAACGTGTGCTTCATCATCCCTATGAATTCCTGCAGCCATTAAGGCAGCTTCTTCTATAGAGGGCAGTGGCTCAAATTCATCCATATCAATATCATTATCTTGATCACTTGACGGAACAAAAAGATCAAATTAAGAGTGAGAATAGTTTGTAACCATGTCTAATACAGGGAGGATTTTTTAAACACTCCCATCTCACTTGAAAATCCAGTTTTTTCCTTTACTTTCCTAAAAAAAATCTGTGTTTTCAAAATAACTCTTGGAATTCCAAGTCAAAAATACTCATTTTGACATACCACAAACCTTGCTTTTCTCACTACAGCTTAGCACATGTAGATGCATTTGTGACAATAACTACTAATTCTGATATTTCTGTCCTCATCTACTAGGAATGCTTGAGTTACCTCTAGTTTCAAATAGGAGGCGTGCTTTGAATTTGCCTTCCCCCCCCATTCCCTAAGCATTCTCATGTTGCGTTGTCATGCTATGCTACTTATCCATGGATGCTTTCATTAACAGGTTTAGAATATTGTTTACCTACATGTATAAAGTATAGCTGATATATGATCACCTTTAAGCAATTCAAGAGTAAGACTTTGGTAACCATGCATAAAAAATTTATTTTGCATTTACAAAATAACTGCAAACTTGCAGCAAGGATTGAGAAGTGGTGTCTCCTATGGTATTTCTCTAAGTGAATTGGGGAAAGTATCATTTTCACATTTTCCATGGTTTGGATCAGTCTTTAATATGTGGAAACACATTTGAGTATCAAGGCTAATCAACAAACTTACCAGTTTTCCACTTTAGGCACTGCCTTAGATTTCTTAGGGCCTTTGCAGTTCTTAGCCCAGTGACCCTCCTGTCCACACTTGAAACAAGCTCCAGATCTTCCAACCCTTCCACTTTGTCCTCTGCTTGACCAACTTTTCTGTGGAACAAACTCACCTCGTGATTTCATGATCTGTTTCCATGCTCTTCTCTTGTGTGCAGATCCACTGATACGACCTCCACGTCGCCGATAGGAACGGTGCTTCATATTGAGCTTCTGGAAATTGTCACTGACAAGGCCTGATGACACTCTAATAAAAGACAAAGTATACTTATTCAAAAACTGGTATAAGAAAAATGCTATTTCCTTCATGAGGACTTTAATATTATGATATTTGGGAAAACGAAATACTTATCAAGGAAGCAGCATTGTTGTTTCTCTAGTTATCACCATCTTTATTAAAAAAAACAACAACAACAACAACAACAACAAACAAAAAAACAGGGGAAATGGCAGGCTTTGGTTCATGGCATTCCAAACATCAATTCATCAGTTTCAAATAACTTCACACTCCCCTTGGAGAAATGTCATTTTCTTTTGTATGTCCTACATTATTCCCAACCTTGTACTACACAGCACAGTATTTGTTATGGAAAGAAGGAAAATGTATAAGTATCTTAAAGAAGATAGTACAACCTACTTTACTTTAGCAGTTGTGAGAGGCAGCTCTTGCTCAACTACTGTATTTGGCACATCTTTCCTGTCTTCATCTTCACTTTGTCCCCTGCAACTACCAATCCATTTTTCCAGTTGAGTTGTTGATACAAACTGAAATATCTAACAAATTTTATAACTTTGGATGATACAAGTTTGGGTTATACCACAGTAGAGATTTATCTAAACCCATCACAATTATCTAAACCCATCACACTATTTTCTTGAATACAAGTGTGTGTGTTTAGGAAATGACTGCCTTGTTGACCAAAATTTTCCACATGTATAAAATCTAAATTTGGTGCAAAGCTACAGACATTGTCTTTAATAGAATAAAAAAAAAGATCCTGCAACCTTCATTGATAATGCTGACATCTGAGCTCAACCTTGGTAACACTGTAGACCTTAGCAATTCAGCCTATGCTGCTTTTAAGGTTTCACTTTCACTTTCATTGCAGAAGTTGTGCATCTCAAAAAAAAAATTGTGTGCAAAATTACCCTTTGCCCTCTTCATGGACTTGTTCGTCATAATCATTTTCACATCTCAACTTCTTGTGAGGTTTCTCCAGGTTTCTCAAGGTTCTTTCATCAGCCTTTCTTTTATGGTTTGGAATTTCTTGGGAAGCTTCTACAGATCTCTCTGGTGGATCACGTTTCATTTCCATGTGATCCAACTTAAAAGGATCAGCAGCAGATACAGAACCAGCCAAACATTTTTCCTGTGATGTCTGAGGCAAATCCCTGACCTTCAAATGTTGTGTTCCATTCAGATATGTTTTACTTTCCCTTTCTTTGTATTTTGATGCAACAGTCTTAATGTTTTCTTTGTTACTAGGCTCCTGAGCACTTCCTTTGTTGTATGCCTTAAATCCTGTTCCAGGAGATATCTTCCTTCCAATGCTATGCTTTGCAACATTCATATGAGTTTCATTCCCAATCTCAGAAAGAGCATCAACATTTATTTCACTTTTTCTAGAAAAAGTACAGTTTTCTCTATCCAAGACCTTTCCTTTAGCAATGGGTGTTTGCATATTGGAGGGAGAGTTTTCTAATTCCAAAAAATTCTCTTGTAATCCACTGACACTCAACACTTGATGGTCTTCATTTAAAGGCAACTCAGGTTTACATTTTTCAAGCCATGCTGAAGAAATTGCTCCCCTTTTCCTGAATTGAACATTTCTTGATTGACGATTAGGAAGCAGGAGACTTGACCTGTGCATGATAACAAATTTAATTTCATAAACAAAATGTTATGTGCACATCCTGGATAATGTCAGTCTTTGAAACAAAAACCAAAAACAAGAGAACAACATACAAGACATGCCATTTTTCCATCCAGCCGCATCATTTCCTAAAGTCATAGAGACTTAATACCAGTACATGATAAGGAAGATTGTAACTCCAAATAAAACAGACAATTTTTTTACCCAGTTCTTTTCTTTGTTAAGGACTTCAGAGTATGCTCTGAGGTATCAACCACTCTAACATCTTGCAAACTGCTTTTGAAATTTATCAATGTGGTTGCATCTTTCTCTGTATTTTCACATTGCTTGACTTCTAAAACATCCTGAAAAATGCAAAATAATATACCGATAACATCAACATCTAAATGGCCAAATGTATGGAAAATTCCACCTCTGTAGTTGCAGTGCTTTCAATAAGCACCGACAGTCGATGAAAAGCATCAGCTACTTCGCTCAGAGAAGTGGGCTACATTTTCCCTAAATTTAAATAATTAAAGAAAGATTCTTTGAAAACTAAATTAAAATTCATTTTGATGGACTTGTATGAACTTTTTACCTCAATTTCAAACTGCAGAATACCCTGCCTCTCATTTACATGTCATTGAATAAGAATAGCCTCTATTGTGTTATCTTCGTTCTTCACAATAGAGGCTATTCTTAATCAATGACATGCAAATGAGTGGCAGGGTATTCTGCAGTTACTCCCAAAATTAAATAACTATCAAAAGATCGGACTCGACTTGTTGGTCACAGCACTTGACTCATTTTGGGGTGGTGTTAGGTCGTAATAGGTTTACGAAAAATTTAACTGCATGCAAAGTATGTAATCTAATTACCGTCATTTGTTTATCGAGTTCAGGAGTTCATTGTGGCCTGATAAATTGAACATTCAATGAAAACTGCATTTTCTTGAATGACAATCATGTCATGGCATTGCAAAAAGAACAGAACGAAAACAAATCGGACGTTCATTTAAGCATTTCATCATTTTTTCCCACTTGCATTTGAAGTCTGAGTTAAAAGCTGCAGCTAATTGATCACAGTTTCTGGCGCCTGTCTTGCAGGTGTCCTGGTGGGTAGGCAGAGAAGCTTGGAAAGTTTTTCACCCGCGAACTGTTTATGGGTTTGCGGGGAAAAAAAACAAAGACAAATGGATGAAAGATTAACGATGCAACTGGATGCTTTCTTACCGGTAGTAAGTGATTCTGTTTAGCTCTATTGTTTTTAGTGACAATGACCTTAAACTTCCAGGAAATGCATGCAAACTTCCATTTTCAGCTTATTCGTATTGTAAAAATAAAAAAAAATGTTGCTATTGATAGTGAGTTTTCCTTTATCTTTTGCCCTCAATTTGGTCTCCAGAACTCCAGAAATGGCATTTTAGAGCTTCCAGATGTCAAAATTTTCTGGGAGGGCACACCCCCAGACCCCCCTAGATTAAGGGGCCTGACAGCCCCTTGTTGGTACGGACGGTTACTCACACTAACCAGCTGCCTACTTGAAATTTTATTGAAACCCCTTTAGTTGTAACAAGGGCTAACAAGTTTCAGTTGTGCAGAAATCATATTGGTAGCATGATTGAAAATCATTAAAAAGTTGTTTTGTGATTTAGTAGTATTACATATTTACTTTATGGTAAAAATGTAAAGAGATCCAACAAACCTTGTCTACATTACCCTCTGGAGCCCTTACAACTGTTGGTGTTTCATGAGCTTTTTTCGTAGGCCTCTGTCCGTGACATAATCTGACAGGTGTAATGTCAGCCCATTCCTTTGCACGGAATGGAATCGTAGAAAGCTTTAAATCTTCTTTTTTCTTGTTTAAATTCTTGCCAAAAACTTCATCACTGTCATCCTAGTTAGAATCATTCAGTCAGAGATACAACAGATGAGAAATGATTGTTGTCCTCAAAAACACAGTGACTGAACTCCTAAGATAACATTGGGAAAAGACTTAGCAATTTTGTATTTTCATCAAGTGACAGCAATAAATGTACCTAGATTTTATTTCTCCATTTATTCATTTTTACCCACATAGCATCTTGTTTATGCCACAGTTAGCCTTCTAGAAGATCCTCTTGTCTTATTGCAAATGCTTTTCTGGATCCCTTACAGATTCTTTGCTGAAGTACAGTATTTAGAGAAAACTGACTTGAACCAAACCTAATCATTACATGTTTTACTTTACTGTACCATTTCTGAAGCAGAAAGAGCTACAGCATGACACAATTTTCCAATCTAAAATTAAACAAAAAATCTAAAATAATACTATATCAGGTTTATAAGTTATCTACATGACAATACACAAAAACAAATTCTCTGAAAATATACTTGATGGTATAACACCTGTTGACATTCTGCAGTCTCTTTCTTGAAAAAATATTCTTTCAGTACTCTGTATCTTTTATATGATTCTATGAGAAGTAAAGGTAGAGAACACATTAGGGCATTCGGTAAGATTTCCGTATAACCCAATACTTCATTATGCATACAATTCTTGGATAAAAGAAAGCAGAGGTAAAACAACAGATTACCTTTGGGATTACAGCTTTGTTTTTTATTGGTATGGGGTTGTATAAAAATCTTTCTGGGCATTCTCTGATCTCAAAGCAAAATGAAATAAAATGTACACTACACTCCAAATTAACCATGAGTTTATTCCCATGTACAGAAGTGTAAATCAGTAACATCGTACCTCTTATTTCTTCTGAACCAGTGTTAATGTCATCCTGTATGGAAGAACAAAATGGATTTTTGTAAATAGAAAATGAAAGATGGTAATTTCTTTTTTTAGCTCGGTAAAGAAATAGTGAAAGATTGTCAAAGGAAAAAGAAAAGATTTTAAGTCCCTGGGAGAGATGGAACCTCAGACCTCCGATGCTGTACCACTGAGCCACATACGCTTTTCGTCTGTGCGCGCATAAAAATCGTATATGCGCGTCTGACAACCCTGCGTCTGAGCATATGAAATGCGTCTGCGTAGTCAACGTAAATCTGAGTAACACATGTAGTTGACACGCGCCCTGCATACAACTGAGATTAACCATATCGATAGCGTCATGTTTGTGAGTAGAATGAGAAAGATGGTAAAATTGTTGTTCTTAATCAAAAGGTACAAAGGAAGATCCTTCCATAAAATTAACTTTCGTTTTAAAAATTATCAAGAGCAAAACCAAGATACTTCTTGTGCAAAGCCGACGATCTAACATAAATACCTCGTATTCGTATGGAAAATAGCCAAAGTTTTCGCTTAAGTAACGAGTAAAGATATCAGATTTGTCATACCTTGCTGGGCTTACGGCCATGGGTTCGTTCAAACATATTTTCCCAGCATTTTAGCTCTCGTTTGAGCGACGACAGTTCTTTCATAGCTTCTAAAAGAAAATCCACACCGTATTACATGAAAGCCACGTCCAAACTTAAAACTATCTTTACACTCACTTGAACCAATCATGTTGGAGTTCTAATGTCTTAAGCTCCAAAGTCTTGGTTAAAAAGAAACGAACTATTCGGAGACTCAAGAGTCCACCATCTTCTCAATCTTCCCGCGCGTTCAGATACCGGGCCTAGTCCCAGACCTCCCCATTTTGAGAGAGCACTAAGAAATTGGAAACCATTGAGAACAGAAAGACCAAATGCTGAGGCCCTTTCTCTTCTTTTTTTTTTTTNAATAGGAGTCCGACTTATACGGATGGCAGTCAAGAAAAGTTTGGCGCGTATTTTCAGCAAGCGTGACTACGCTAGACGTTCTGAGTCACTGTTGTCGGACAATAGCCAATACATGCACCCTGTAATCGTGTACTGCGTCAGTCAAGTTCACTGCTTAAACGGCCGCAGAAATGCTTAGCCACATTCATTATTCCCTTCCAATAAACTGTATACTTACCGAACCTTCGCTTGTGAAGGCCTCGGAGCAATGCGTGAGAGGACAAGAACTTGTTGACAATACCAACGTTCGCCAGAGAAACTACTCTCGCACCATAAAGTCAATTGGTTATTTAGGATAATTAAAAAATAAGTATTTTTCAAATGTTTCCAACAAAGTAGAATCTGACACTGATCTACATCCGGCGCCAAGCTCAGTATGCTTAGAACGTCTTCCCACTTTCTGGGAGCCTAGTTTAGCGCTCCCTCAAAGAAAAAAAACTAACGTAAAAAAAAAAAAAGAAAAAAGAAATGAATTAACCTAATCGCAGGATTCAAACAATAATAAAAGATGAGCAGATCCATCTGTCACCATTACAAGCCTATAATAAACGAGTGGGTCCAAGAGCAGTGATCTCGTGCTCACTTGCCATAAGTATGAAATTTGAGCGATAGAGTAACACCGACCGGGTAACATTGCATTTACCCTTGAACTCCCGAGATCTGATCGTTAATTCTCCCCTCTAACTGCTACATGTTTCCTTGTGGGTTAGTTACGAGAATTTGGGGTTAGATGAAGATAACAACTTCTACCTGATAAGTTTGAGTATTCTCATTACCTGTTTGCTGGATAATGAGAAGTTACATGTCAATCACTTCTTAGAGTTAAAGGGTTAAAGGGCTCGTGGTATACTACCACACACCATTTGGAAGGACCAAGTAAAAGATAAGCAACGAAGCGTCAGGCAGAATCCTGATTACTTTTGCTGTAGTGGCAGGCGCACGGGTACCCTCCAGCCTTGGGGTGGAGGTGAATGAGTATGCCACAGAAGGGAAACCCTTGATTTATGACTACTCTACACAGCGCAATGGCTGATATAGTTTGGAAGCAAAGATTTTAATTCCTCGCAGTTTGGTGTGGGTTTAATTGTTAAATGGTCAAATGTATGGACATACCCGAGCGTTAAAATTTAGAGGTTATATAACAACTACACCATGGCTGGGCGTTTATAGAGAAATTAGTGCACAAATTTAGTGGGATGTCTCTCAAATGTTTCTTTTTTTTTTTTTTTTTTTTTTTTTTGAGCATGCTTTTAATTCTCCTATCGATATATCAAGAACAATCAGTTATTAATAACAATGGTTATACAACTAGATCGCTTTTCAATCTCTAAGTTACGTGTATACAGAGGGTGGTCGCATCAGTTCATCCAACACCTGCGCTAACTGTGCACTCTCGTAGCCACCCTCACTTCTCTTTTCCTTCCCTGCTGCTGATTCATTCCTTTTAGATGAGATTTGCTCGTTGCTTTTGCCCTTGTACGCATTTTCTTTTACGGTGCCACCACTGAAATTGCGAGAGGCACTAGTTACTAAGCCTTCGGTGTACCACTTGACTGGTTCGGACTCAGTGCTTTTGCCATCACCTGATCGAAGAGAGAAATCTCTCTTTTGGATATTGGGGTCGATTCTTTCCCTTCTTGATTTCCGTGTTGGTAAAATCACCCCAGAGACATCAGGAATGCATTCGTGCCACAGTTTTAGATATCTAGACGAGCTCGGAACTTTTTGAAAGAATGGTGCACTTGCTTGCACATCGCAGTATGGTTGCTTTGCGCAACGCTTCCTTATTAGGTCGGTCACATGACTTTGATCTGGGGTATTTGAGTTCAGCGTAGAAGTAGACAAATCGGCAGGTGCAGAATTGGTGCATGTCACGGAGTTGCCCTCTTCCCACCGAGCTTGCGTTACTTTCACTCGTTTGCCAGGACTGCATTGCAATAACGCACGATCACCAACACACACGATGGTCACGTTCTGTGAAATGAGGTCAACAAAACTGTTATTTCCTCCTATTTTGTAAATTTTCGGTTTCGGTTCTTGAAGAATGCACACTAGTTGATTGCAATTTAACTGCCACTGAACTTCAAATTGAAGAAAGGGGAGTTAGGTTGCAAAGCGGATAGCACAATTTCCCAACGGAACGCTGGTAAGCTTTTCATAATCTTCAGCAAAATTCCCTAGACGGCTATCCACTACTTTCCACTACTGTCTTCTGCGGTAGTTTATGTCTACCATCTTAACAGCAAAGCAATTATTTTTGTACATTACTGCTTTATGTGAACAGAGGTACCTTAAGTGAATGAACGCTATTTCGGCAGGACCAGCAATCATGCTGTACTTACCGTTTGCACTGTATATAGCGGAGTGTAAATATCCGTTGTTATCTTCCACACTGGATATCCAGGGACTCCGGGCATTCCGACCTGTCCTGGCAAGCCTCCGAATCCCGTTCCTCCTTTTACCCCTGGGGGTCCCTGTGGTCCTGGAGGTCCGGGTGGTCCTGGCAACCCAACCTGGCCATGTTTCCCCGGGGGACCGGGCCATCCTGGCATGCCAGCTGGTCCCGAGATTCCGGAACTACCAAGGGGACCTTTCGGTCCCGGAGGTCCCTGGGGGCCCGCGACTCCTCTTACGAAAAATCCCATGGATAGTTCTTGGTTGAGTAGATCAAATGTTTGAATTGAATCCAGAATATCCTGGGTTATTTGGTCGCCAAGTCTCGGCCATTGTTCTCTCGGTATATGAACAAGCTAAAAGATAATCATGGCGTTGTCAACATTTATTTTGGAGCAGTATCACGCTTAAATATCGATTAAAATACTTGATCAGACTTTCGTTTTTAAACTGATTATTACAATTAATGCAGAAGAAAATTAATTTTTCGTTCATTGGCGAGCTCCCGGTTAATTGTTTCTGGTTGAAATCAAGTTCTTTTTTTGGAACTGAGACAGGCTGGACTTTTGCTGCGCATGGCTACTTTAAGTGATGCGCACTAGTCCGCACCCAAGGGAAACAAGACGCAGGTAAATCAGCAGGTGTAAACAGGTCTAACTCAGGGAATTTAAACCCAGTGACTTCAAGGGAAAAGCTCCCAGTGCCATTGTCGTGACCAACTTTTTCTTTAGCAAAAAAAACTTTAAGTTCTTCTTTTTGCTCTAATTCAAACTGCTCTAATTCAAATTCAATGATAGCCACTCTAATCATCTCATTTTATCGATTCTCTTGTTTTTTCTTTTTTTCTCTGTTCACTTTTGTTGTGCATCCATAATTAAGCGACACTGACACAGGTAGTTGAATAGATGTAGGGATAACCAAAATGTCGCTTCATGTTGGTTGTTGACTTTAGACATGTTTCATTTTAAAGCCAACGCTCAGCAAACAGAGCTATAGAAAAGTCTTAAAGTCTTACCTTCGGACCCAATAGAGAAACATAAAAATTTTACCTTTACTTTTACAGCGGCCACCAGTTGCATAAACAGTATGACCCTGAAATATCCCATGGCGGTTTGATCTACCAGCGTGAGAGGAAAACAAATCAAATAGCCACAGCGTTCCGCGCTTAAAAGTTTCTTAAACGACCAAGTTCCTAGGACTTTTAAGGTTTACTCACTGGCACAGAGCTACCCTGCATCGAGGATATTTTTTGGATTAGATATTTGAATTTTTTTAATATCAACGGTATGATAACTTGAAGGAACTTTCCTTAACTTGTAGTTCTGCGGCGGAGGCAAACATTCCCTATAATACTCAGAAATAAATAAATAGCCTTTTTCATTTCCTTACGTCCTTCGGTACTAGTTTTTAAGAGTCTACGATTGGTTCTTATGGTTTAACAGGGTGCCACAACATTACGAGAGGAGTTTACACTTTGACTTGAAAGGCGCAAAACACGCTCTTGAAATAATAGCAAACGACCGACTGATATACAAAAAAAATTATCTGTACTTAGTTTAGAAGACTCAATACCCACCAATACTTACTGGACTGAAGACAGAATTTTCGTCACTAAACCATAGTCAGTCAAACTCGTTTTTTACCTTCTGAAACGGGCGAGTAAATAACGATGGATACACTGGCTGCCACCATCGGTTTGAATGTTTGGAATGGCCTTTTGATCGAGATCCACAAGTCTCCGCGGGTAACAGTTCTACCAGGGTGACGTCATCATGTTTACATTGGAGGAGTTGGCTCTCCCATCTCAGTCAACGCATTGTCTTTGAAATAAAGCTCGTTATCATATTTAATTTGTGGTTTCAGTGGTTTAACACGAAAGAAAATATATTTTATTTGATAGAATCATCTCCAAAACTGACTTTTCTGCTCTTCCTCATTCTCATTTTCTTTTAACAAGGGGTTTCGACAGAACTCGCAAACGAAATACCCAAAACCAATCAATTACTTTCGTTTATTTTTATCATTTATTCTCATCTGACGCTGGTTTTCTACTGATATTGCTTACATCAGCATCTTAGCCTACAGTATAACTCCGTCAAAGGAAAGAATTTCGGAAAGCAAATGAATGTCCAAAGAAGAACTCGTTTAGGACGCATATCGCAATAATGGCTTCTATTGTACAACTTTCCGGCTGGCTTTCTATTGTACAACTATGCCTCTTAATCCAGTCACAATAAAGCATGGATTAAAGTTCAGTGACAAATAAATAAACGAACATAGAAGAGACTGAGTGCAAATTGATTTCTCACTCTAACCTATTTTTAACAAAAGCGCACAGCGTTTTGATGAAAACCCGGAAAGGTCACGGAAAACTCGATGGCGAATATGTCGTGGGAAACAAGACAAGATGAAAGCGGAGAAGGAAATTCATAAGAGTTGAAGAGCAGGAAATAAATTCAACACAATAAATTAGAAGGAGGTCTGTAGCCGTCTGGTAATGACGGTGTAAAGTAAATGGGGCATCTTGCAAGATCAAGGCCTCTCAGCACGAAATGGATCGCAGAAGGATCCCAAAAAGAAATAGTAAACAATAAAATGATAGTTGCTAACTCTTGCTGGTAGATTGCGTGTATTGGTGCACGTTTTCTCGATTTTCTGGAGAAAAAGCTGCTTTCTTGTACCAAGCCCCCAGGCAATATTGACTGTTATCGACTGATAGATAAACAATATCCAAATTTCGAGTACCTTCTCAAACTGATGCGTGAATTGTAGAAAGCTTACTCGAAAACTACCCGTTTTAAATCAAAACCAAATGTACAGGCAGAAATTAGTATTTATGATATCTTGAATTACCAGAAAATTTCGTCGGCGTTAATTAATGCTTTAGTTAATTAAATTAACAACATCTAGAGCTATGTAAAGATTTGTTCCACTTCATTTCTCTTCGATCATATTTTTTCATAATGCCTTTTGTCTTGCAGAAATGCGAAACGGAATTCTAGTCGACAAACACCGTTCTCTCGTTCCAAGAGGAAAACAAAAGATTCAAACTGTGGAATGGCTCCAGAAAGGAAAAGAAAACTTTGTTTGATCCATAAATACTTTCCCTTTCCTCAATTATCTTTCGTTACCGGTTTTTAGTTTTCTATTTTCGAGCAAAATAGGTGGTTTGCAACCAATCTCTAGAGACACAGGTAACAAAGGTGAAAGGAACAAATGCTGGTGGACGAACAAAAGAAGCTAATGAGTTATCTATCGTTTACGCCCACCAACATGGCGGCAATGACGTAACGTGCAAACCACCTATTATCGGCGTCAGACCCTGGAACTTTAGATTTATCAGTTCTTACCTATAAGACATTTCTTAAATATCTTTATAACAATTTATTAAAAGTTAATACTTGTCCAAGATAGCATCAACGCAGAAGTATTTTCTAGAGACTCTCCGGATGGCATCCTGATATCAAAGAAATATGCTGACCGGCCAGCAAGCCACACACACAATTACTGACATCGTTTTTCACCATATTTAATTCAGTCTTCTTAAATTTAACCTCATTTATTAAACCAACAATTAGATTATTCTTGATTCTATATCGCGTGATAGTGATGAGGGCGAAGCCCGTATCAAATGTCACTCATGGAAGTTTTTGGTAAAAATCTACTAGCTAGTTCTTCAAACCCCGATTCAACTGTTGTACAATACCATTTTTTCCCGACCTTTGCTTACAGCCGCACTCTGAAAGGTTACTCAGTTACTACTACGGTATCGAGCGCACCTAACGTGGCCAATCAAATTAAAACATTTGGATAGAGAACTAATTGATAATCAAAGCCTACAATCTAGGTTTTGCCTAGCTTCATTACCAACTTTAGTCCTAAAAGAGTTCATTAACGCTAAGGTGTATTGAATCACTTCAGCAGTCAACCCAAGTCATTCTTTCTAGAGAAATCCTTTTCAACTAATACTCATGGGGATTGGCTCTGTTCGAGTTCATTTCAAATTTAATAATTATTACAAACAAAGACTTGAGTTGAGCTTTCCTGCCCTTTCTCCCCACTCACGAAATCGAATGAGAATTCGTTAGCCCAACCCTTCATTTATTCCCTCAAGAATGCAATAACACCTGATATTTCCCAGACAATATCAAGAGAGCGCCAATATTAGCGAAGAAACCGAAACAAAAGAAGGTAGGTCAGCTACAGGAATCGCTTTTCTTAAACGTGATGTCATCAAGTTCCAAATCTGCACTCGAAGGACCAGCACGATTCGGGTAAAATGTAAGTGCTGATTGTTGTTAAAAGAATAATTGACCATCTCAGGGATTAGTTACTAAACGGGGCACGTTGATCTCGCCGTGCGAAAATGAAAAAAAACGCGCATCGTTTTTTTGCTTTGTGTTACCGTGATCGCGTCCCCTTTGCGAAATGGACGCCTGGATAGGCTAAACTTATAATTAAAGAAACAAGAAAAAAACAAGAACAGCCAAAGCAAAAATAAAACTGATAACCCCATTAGGTTAACGGAAAGCCATTTTGTTTCCCGCGGATATTAGATCAGCACTCAGGGGTTGGTAAACACGAATTTCAAAGTGCACCACCCTTCAGGATTCATAGCATGTACCAATTCAGCCGTGGACCTGTGTTTATCGCCTCCAAAAACAACCAAACATTTAGCGTTGACTTAAATATCACCGTTTCAAACTGAATTCGTGAATTAAAAGGTGTTCTCTGAACATAGTATGTGTAAACATACACCCTGTCGTCAGAAACTGACAACTAATTGACTGTAGAATAAAATCTGAAATTTCTTTTTTAGAGTTATTTGATCGTAGAAAGTCCATGTTCCTTTCCTTATGTGGAACTGTGAAAAATTCGATGCAATGAGTGGGGATTTATTTCCTTGAGTGAGATGTGCGAAAGTTCATTGCGGACTGAAGACGGATTCAGTAATTCATTTGTGGCTAACAATTTAGTACATGCTCTCCCAAATTCAGCTCTTGTACCACCTTTATTGATATTACCCATATGGGAACGTCTTTCATGCCCAAAGTCTTGACGTCAGAGGATTCATGAAACGACAAAATGACGGAATCTGGTAAATCCTGCAGATTAAAGAGCTGATTTAGATAAAGGAAATCATAGATGAGGTGTAAAAATGACCCTTCGCTTTCATGCTTTGAAAGCTCTGACGTGACATTCCGCGAGTCTAATTCACTTGTTTTACTTAGTATCACGTTTGATGGATATTTAGAAAATCACTTAAGACCTGGATTAAAGTGACCTTGAACCTCTAATCTTCTTCAAATTAGCCCTTTGTCTCGAAAATCCCAAATAAATGGATATAACGATATAAAAACCGCCCCGAAAACGAAGGGCGACGCGGTGTTAATTAATTTGTGGTTGCTCTATTAAGCAATAATCAAGACTTTACAAAAAAACATTTACTGTGGACAAAGTTAGGGAGCCCCCCCCCCCCCCAAAAAAAAAAATCCGTGTCAGAAAGTAGCATCTGAGAACCCATTTGTACCTGACCTCTCTCAAGTTCGTGTTATTCGTGACTCTGGTGTCCGATATGTCTTGATATCTGATCACTGCGGGGTTTCCAATAGAAATTAAAGGAAACAATAAACATGTGACGTCTTTAGTGGATGGTAATCGCTAATTACTCAAGTAGATAATGTCTTAATAAAATCTGCTCTTGGAGCATAGCTGTGAATCGATAAACCAAAAAATGTGAGTACATGTTCTACTCATAGGAAAAATTGACGAAGGGACTCAAGGAGACGTGTCAGCCGGAGTCCATTGGATCGGAATTGAGGAATGAACTTTCACCATAAATAGTATCGTGGCAGTGAATGACCACCGGAAATCAAAGAGGAACCTTATGTCATTGTCACAATCTGTGGTGACGTTACCAGTTGAGCGGTGTTTTATAAAGGGTGAACAAGTGTCAACGAGCGCATCACAAATATAAACTCGCCTGTGCCATACGAAGGTGGTGTGGTGCATGGTGTGCGCTGACTCAAGTCAGATAAGTAATATTTCTTCGAGAGCAGAGATGAACCGTTAGAAAGTATTAAAAAATGACAAATCATCTGGGAGCGCAGTCTTTGACTGAAGATAGCCAAGTTGTTTCAATCGAGTTACCGAATGGATCAACAGAAAAGATTGCGGTTCGCGATAAACGGAATGCGGCTGTCAGGGACTTGAAGGTCACTTGTGAATTGCAATTTGGAATCCCTTGTAATTTACAACAAGTCAGCGCCTTGAAAAACCCAAATCAGGAGTTCAACGACTGGATGCCGCTCACGGAAGCTATGCAGGTGATGGGAAATGATGCTGTCTTTGTTGTTCGAGTACCTGTGTGGTGGAACAAGTTTATTTGCGTTTGCTTGAACAATGAAATCGAGAACGTTTGTATAAGGGCTAAGCTTCCTATGCAACAGATCAGCAAAGAGGAGCGATTGTTTGTCGGTTGTTACATCGCTTGCTGTTGTGGAAATGAAAAGTTACTCGAGCGACTCCAAACTATGGACATTCAGTGCGACCATCAAACAACTACCCGAGCAGGTAGGAATCTTTTTCACGCTGCTGCGGCAAGTGGAAAGGTAAACTGTGTGGAGTTTGTGGCCAAACATTTAATCAAACCATCGAAGGAGAACTTAACACTAATAGACACTAATAGAGAGACCCCGATTGATATTGCGCGACGATTAAATCATAGCGAGACGGAAAGATTGCTCTATAAATACATGTATAATGAAAAGGGCGAACGAATGGAACGAAATTCCACCGAGTCTGGCATCGATTTGAGCGAAGAAAGCGAGTCAGAGGACTCTGCGGAAGAAAAGAGCCGATCAAGGGCGAATATTTCTGCACGCGAAGAACAAGGTGATGGTGACAGCAAGAGTGCAGGTGTGATTAAACCAATTTGTCTCAAGGACGAGGAATTAGTGATCACTGACTGTGACGAAGGATTGAGTTTTGCTGTGGACACGAAATCAAAGCAGGTGACGCCCCCAAATTCACATGTTGAAGCGAATCAACAAGATGGCTTGACAAATCGTGAGAGAAGCCCTCAACGAAGGCACAGTCCATGTTCTTCGGAAAGCTCCGACGAATCATCAAATATTTCCCCCAGACTGAGCAGACCGCAAACCCTTGATGTGCAATCCAATCAACACTTGCTTCAACGACGATTTAAGGAAACCGATCCTTACAGGCCAAAAAGTGCGCGGACCGTGCGCTGTCCGAGAATCTATCTGGAGGAAGAGGAGGAAGCTAGTACGAGTGATAATCACCTGCCTCCTTTAGAGGGCCAAACGCAGAAACCTCATGCAGTTGGAAACGTCCTGAGCTCATCCGCGTCTAACCTGCAAATTAGGAGAATGAAACAAGCTCTTGTACGGACTAACAGCGGGCCGAATTCTCCCGCGTCGAATCGACGATTGAGTCCGACGGAAGAGTCAGCAACCGATGATTTTGTCTCGAAAAGCGCGCCAGGTTCTCCACAAAGTCCTCGATTTTTGTTCAAGCCGTCAGGCGGCATCTCTCCGGCTTCGCCAAAAGTTTCGAGAGCGCTGCTGGATCGAAGACGTGGCTCTGAGCCGGTGGCAGCTATGAACAAGATAAATGGCATCAGGTTCCCTCGCACGAGGAGAGACGCTACCATTACAGCTGATCTACATGGAGATATAAAAGGACAACCTGCGTCCCCTATAATGTTCAGACGAGGCAAGGCAAGGTAGGTACATACGCGTTACCTATCAATATTTAAATGGCCTCTGCTTTTCTTCATTGACCCTTCTCCAAATTGAAATTGTTGAACACTCACACAGTCAAAGTACGAGGAAGTCAACATTTCTCTATGGCTTAACAGAGCAGACTCAATTTCTATGATTTGCAACACAGTGACATTAATTTGTTTCATTCGAGCGCTCTAAAGCTTTTGCGAACTTGTTATCCGGACTTAGCGCTGCTTGATAAATATTAACAGTTTGGCAAGTAAACAATATCTTGCTTGTGAAACATATCCGAAGATTATGTGTTGCCGATTGTGAAATCTAACCGAACGCAATAAAGACAAATTAACTAATTATTTTCTTTAAAAACTTAGATGGCCGGGGTGCTTAAAACATGAAAATAAAGTTGAGAGATGTCTTAACTTTTAATTAGTTGTAAGTTGAAACTGTTAGGTTCGACAGTCTAGGTGACGTCTTTGGTTTCATGTACATAACACCACCTGACCTTCACGAACTTGCTCCTTTGATTTAATGTATCAAAATGAATAGGTGGAAATGACCATTTCACTGTATAGAGATTGATAAATGCGAAAAAATGAAGCGTTAAAGGTTGTAATTTCGACCACTCGTCCGTATAGTTGTTTTTAAGAAAGGAATTCATAAGTTGATTCCACCAAACTGTTTAACTCGTGTAGCTGATTGTTGAAGCTTTTCTGTTGTGTTCTAGAGTTGTCCTTAAGTAATATTTTGATATAACTTCTATAATTTTGCCGTTGGTACTTGAAATAATTGTATAGTTGTAAACAAATGCCACAGCCCTACAATAAACTTATCAGAGCCAACTTTTTATTTTCTTTCACCCTTTCAAAAATGCTTTTATTGAACAACACGAGCTAAGGTTGTTTTAGTTTTAAATTCCTGTTTTTCTTTAATGAGAAAAAAACTTGGAGAATTCCTTTTCAATCAGATTATTTGTTTTCTCTGTAATTTACGAGTTAGAGACCATTTATTTGGACTCATTTATAATTACATTTTGTATTCTCTCAAAGTATTCTTTGATGACCTTTGCCCACGGTTAGACCACAAATGAGTGGTTTCATTTTCATGCACAAATCATTGTAACACAACAGGTTTCTCAAGAATTCAAGATCTTGTTTAGATACGAATGGACCTTTGTAAACAAGTTTCCTTTCGAAAACGTGGTTATTACTTTCATGCACGAACGCAAACAGTTCTATGGTCCAGTTGAAAGAACCTGAGTGAATGCGAATAAATTGAAATATAGGATGTGTTATTTTAGCCACGCGGGAAGCTCATTAATTTTCATGCAAATGAAAATATAACTTCTCGTCATCAGTTATTTTTGAGCGCAGACTTCTGTCATGAGGGTATATAAAGTCTATGACCAGAACACGGTTTCTTTTGCCCTTGTAGAAACCTTACTTGATCTTTTGTGGGATGGAACTCCTGTAGAATAAATTGTAGCGGAATTTTTCGTTTTTATAAACACGACACTGTTGGGTATTTTGGTCCTGAGGAGACGCATTTTTTCTGTTCCACTGACCTGTTTTCGTCAATCGGCGATGTTGTTGATTGATTTACAAACAGCTTACGTGGCTTAGAATGACCCTGAAAAAATGCACTTTTTTATGAGTTAACTAGACGTGTTTCCGACTGTCCACAGAGTTATTCCCAAAGGTATAATCATGGAACCGTGGCTTAATGAGAACACATTCATCAGAAACGATTACTTTGTCAACTTGTCTTCATGTCTGCCATCTATGCAAGTCAATAGTGGAGAAGGAAAAAGAAAACTCGAGGAAAAAATCATAAAATCATTGAAAAATTATTCTTAAAAGAACTCATTCTAGAACTTTTCAGGGAGGGAGGGGGAAACGAGGGGTTTTTTTTTTTTTTTAAAGCCGACTGACTTGGAAACGGACTTAAGCAATATTTCCTTTCTTTTATAAAAACCGGAAATGACCCAATGAGAGAGCGTGATCTGAATGATTTTGTTTATCTCTGTTATTTTGTTATGCGGTCGGATAAATCGCCCATAGTATCCGGGATTACTAAAACCATCCTTTGTCCTATCAGGTCTCTTTCTTTTAACCAAGGTTGTCCTCACGTTCTTAGGATTGTGATCGCTTCGTCAAAACAAGGAAAGCCAAATATTCTGTGGAAGCGAAAGCACTCAAGCGGTGAACATTTCAGGTCATTCTCAATGCTCTGAAAACAGAACAAATGCAAGCAAAATCGAGTATTGTATGCAGAAGTATAAAGATGAATGTCACATGTGATGTAGAATTGATTGACAGCGCCAGAGTTCTGAATCCACATTACGCTTATTAAAATTTTACATTTTATTCCCCTGTGTAGACAAAGATTAAGTTTGCTTGCACTTGAATGTAATTTTTAACGCATCAGTTTTATTAGTCGGAAAACAGCGTGCAGTTAATCGGTTGACTGGCCGTTGAAGCACGGTGGATTATCCATACGTATAAACGGATATATGGCAAACGCTGTTAAAAATTAGGTAAGATTTCCTTGGTGGGGGACCTTGGCATAGGTGGTCCTGTTACAAGACGCGTCCCTTATGGAAATTATTACTGTAAGTTAATAAGCTTTCACGATAACCCAATGAAGGCTTTAATGATCTAAGAATAGCTGTGCACATTCCTGAAACAAGAAAACCGTTTTCTTTGACTAGCGCGGCAACTGATTCTCAGTAGCTTGTAGAGTTACTTTAGATGCGTTTCTAGCGGTGAAAAGAGATTTAGGTAATACTTTATACGTGAAGTGGTTCACAAGACCAAACAAGGATGCATATCCCGGCGAAATTTTGCGTTTCAAAAATTGATGGCGCACGCTCAATAGGCCAGCTATTCAAGTACCGACGCAAATTTCTGTGGTCAGATAAGACAGTTGGTTGGTTTTGCTGTTTTCGCAAAACACAGTGGTATCGCTGAAAAAAAAAAACATCTTTCCTAGTCATTATGGAATTAGCATCGATTTCTTGTTTCTTTCAGAACGTTCGAGTCTCTTGACTTCTCCATTAAAAGCACATTGCACGATTTAATCTTGAAGTACTTTGGTGCGATTAACAAATGTTAACGAGTACTATTCCGGACTTCCTACAGGAAGACTTCGCAGTTCTTTTGAAGTACTAAGATCTAATCGCCTGACTCTAGCGATCGGGTCTTTCCATATTAGGACAAAACTTTAAGATTAGGAAAAGGTTCTAAGATTTCGTGCCGAAGCCAGAAGTGGTACGGTAAATAAACCGTCTGAAACTCTCTGGAAATGTGCAAACAAAACGTTTTCAGTCTTTCAAGAACATCGTGCACTTGTATGTCATTTGGAAGACAGGCAGCATCCACATTAAGGAATCCCCTGGGTGTATTTTCTGCAGCTTTAAACTGAACTTGAAAGCAATGTTCATCATTCATTTTTAGTCGTCTTTTTTCATTCGAAAAGAGTATTGAATACAGTCATCAGTTTGATCCAAACACAAGCTAGTTTCAGATTGCGCCAAAAAAGCTTACCTCTAGAAATTCTCCAAGTTTCTCCACTTTGAGGGGCAAAACCGTTCAAAAGTTGCTTGGAAAATATTAGCGATCCTGGAATGTTTGACAAGAGAGAATTAAGTGGAGAAAAAACCGAGATTATAAGGGGAGAGGGCAGGAAGGCTGTCTAATGACGTAATCAACTATCGGAGGAAATGTTGAGCGAGAGTTTTCTGCTCTTCAGCATTGATGCAGAAGAAATGAATGGGAGCGTATCCTTCATCCGGTATCTTTGCGTTCAGGAAAAGATTTCAACGCCTTTTCTATCATTTGGTAAAGTACTAGTATTAAAGTCCAACACAAAATGGTGCCAGTCGCCGTGCTTCTCTGAGAGGCGAGTTCGAAACCGTGGAAACTAATCAAAATCGCGTTGACAGTTACCCTTATAAGTGTTTGCAGGGCTGTTTTAATTGTTGACCACTTTTGGCGACGCGAACATAACATCACAAGATAGTGTACGGTGTTATCGTTTATTTCATTACGTCGACTTATAAGCTCTTTACCTTCCAAAACCGTATTGCACAGCGCTAACAAAAGAAACCAGACGTTTTTGTAACCATTTCCACGAAAGAACATTAACCTACCCGTCTGCTGCAGATTGCAACATAAATACTCTCTCATACATGCGAATAACGCTAATGTGCGCTGTAAATAGAAATAAGAATGGCCTTGGCACTTTTAGATCTTAAAAATAAACCTGGTGTTGGTGGAGTTTTTTTAAATTTCACCATGCCGTACGTTCGAGTTTGCAAAGACATTTTCAGCTAAAAATATGTGAGCTACTATATCGCCGGACCGCCCTGAAAAAGACGGTTTTTATCTTACGGAAAACCATTGAGCTTAGTCATGACTGCTAATTAGAACGGTGTCTGTTCACACAAAGCTCGCACCGGTCAAGGTTCACAAAGTCGCATTAAACAGAGCACATACCACTTGAGTAAATTATTCTTATGAAACCCAAACCAAATCTGAACACTTTACAAATTCTTTCTGCGAGTATTCCACGAGCAATACGCGCCGGGAGGGATACAGCTGTCTTTAACTGAGCTGGACTTCTATCTGACAGAAGGTTTTTCCTTGCTGTGGGAGCATGGCTGCGAGAAGGTCTCTTCCTTTGAATAAATCTCCCCGGCTTATGTTTTTGTTGTACATTGTGAAATTACTTGAATGAGAAAATTTTTCCCATTTTTTTTTTTTTTCTGTATGTCTGCAAGCTGCAAATAGAGAGAAAGAGAGCTGACCTCTGTTTTCTTTTGTTTGTGTTTCAGGTCTATTTGTGAAGTTAGCTTATCCGATTCCCTAAAAGATCTACGCTGCTACAAAGATATGGACGAGGAAGAGCGACTAGATCGACCCTGGAACGCATGGATTGCTGTCAGGAAGGAATCCCTTCAAGTTGTAAACCCTGAGCCTATATTGGATTCACGCAAGAAGTCTTTCCAACAATGGCTCAGCGAAAAGGAACTAGCTCACTTAAGGGGACTCTTTGCAAACGCACAAGAGGCTGCCAAGACAAACGAGAAACAAGCAAAGATGCTCAAAGGAAAATCTTTTGAGGAATGGTTAGAGGACAAGCAGCGAGAGTATGAGAGGGAAAAAGAAAAGGAAAAAGGTTTGGAAGATCAGCAGAAACAGCAAGAGGACAAGAAGCACCAGCGTAGAAGAATGTCTCAAGCCAAGTACGACAAATGGCTGCTGCAGAAGGAACGTGACGCTCTCTTGATGGAAGAAAAAAGAGAGCAAATGGCGAAACAAAAACACGAACTTTTGAAAAAGAAGTGGGAAGAAGAAGATGAAATGAAGAAAAACTGTAAACAGACGCTGGGACGAACCCAGAGTTTGCCAGTGGAGGACCGGGCTTTCCCAACTCGACAAGCAATAAACAAACATAGAGTTACAAGTTTAAAGTAGCTTCGAACTCACTCACACAACGGGAAGGTTTGTTTGTCCTTTTGTGATAAAGTGTAAACACTGTGTTTCCTGTACAAATTTTGAAAGTAATTACGTATCTCTTTGATTCTGCTGTCAGTCTTTTATTTTGCACAACGAATTCACTCTTATACACACTATGACTGATCACAAGGGAATGTCGTCTAATTTGAGAAATGGTTTCTCTCGATTTCGCAAGTTCAGCACAGGTGATCATTTTTGTGTTCTGATAATTTCTTACGTTTAAAATAGTTGCCTACAGTCGCTGTGCTTCATTCATATCGGAAAGGAAACAGTCTAGCTGCAAACTAACTAAATCAAGGGATATCTGATATTCAGAGAAGTCTGCTCACTTCGAAATGATATTTAGCAGTGCCATCGACATAAAGCATCCAAAGACTAGTGTTGTTGCTTGAGACAAAGTAAGGCCAATGACGATGATATTGCCTTTAGATTCTGATTCAAGCCTAACGAGAAATAGTTAAAAACGTGGAAAAATTGTTTTTCGGTTGATAATGATATTTTAGGTTAGTTAGGTTTCAAACTGAGATGTTCAGCCAAGACGAAAAGAAAAAGTGTGATTGAGTTTATTGTAAGCGTATTTATTTCTCAGCACACAATACCTTTGAGGAGTCAGTTGTACATTTATGATGACCGTGATGACCGTAGGATAATTGTAGTTTAGGACAAGCTTGTGATGTACTAAGGGTAGATCTGAGTTACTGGGGATAATTTCAATTCGACTTAAATAAATTAATTGCTTCATATCAAAGCTAAACGACGGTTTCGAGTATGTTTTTCCTTCCCTTGAATAATTCTAAGCTGCTCAAACCACTCATGGATGCAGCATATAAATAAAACTCGCACCCAGCCCACTCAACTACTAATACACGAAACTTAGCCTAAGTGTAGCCTCACCCTCCCCCCATGGAGGAACGGGGAACGGGTGCGGAAACGGTTTCTTCACGGGGGGACTGACACAAGAAACTTAACCCTTCGCGACTCGGACACCTGCGTTTTCTTGTGCTTCAAACAGTTTGCTTGTCTCTTAGACTCGCTGTTCTCATGGGCTCCTTGTTTTATACATCGTCTTTGTTCTGATTGGCGGATTTAACTACGTAGGTTCTACCGATAAAAATGCTTTACTTCAAATTGGTTGCCTCTCTGTTACATGACATAAAAAATCGCTGTGCTCCTCCCAATATTTCTGAACTTTTTACTCTCTCTGAACAGGTTCATTCCTACTCTACTCGTTTCTCAGTAGCTGGAAGCTTTTATTTAAAACAGGAGAGAACAAATCATCAGTTGTTTTCCTTTTCTAGAGTTGGTGTGAAAATATGGAATGGCATCCCTCATGAAATTTGTAAGCTAAAGAAAGCACCTTTTAAACGTGAGCTAACTCACTTGCTTTTGAAAATTCTTGAAATTGAGGAGATGAATGTTGACTTGCGCTACCTTGACCTTTCTAGCTTATATTTGTATTTCAACTGATTAGCTTTCTCTTTGACCTGTTAAAAACTCCCTTGTGTGACTGGCTCAGTTAAAACCTTTAACATGATTATCACTACTATTATTTATTATTTATTTTTATTTGCTCATTTATTTATTTATTTCATTGTTGCTTGTGTGTGTGCGTGTGTGTATGTGTGAGAGCCTATACAGTGTCTGTTTAGGTAGCCCGCCTAGAATAGCTTTGCTAACTGCGGGCTACAAAAGCCTTTATTTCTTTAATTTTAAAAAATAAAGTCAATGTTGTTGTTGTTGTTGTTGGTTTTAGGCCATTTAATCGAAATGAACCAAATTGTACGACCAGTAAACTTTTGTAGTTTCAGTCCTTTAGTTGTCTTAGTTTGGCGACAGTAGTGATCCGAAATCAGTGACACGAATGCTTTTTAATGGCACTTACGATTAAGCTATTTGGTGAACTTGTTATTTAAAACGTATTAATTGAGAGTCCCTCTCTTGAACGAGCTCAACTTTCTAAAAATCACTTTCTATCTTTAGTTAATGTCGCGTAAATTTTGCATTTTCACTGTTCAAGTGAGGGACGCATTTACTGTTTAACTTTGATGCACTTCATTGAGCTCACTACCTAATTTGTGAGAAGGTGCTCCTTTGGACTCGAAATAAATATATCTTATCAGACGTTTTGTTGTGTAGTATCGTTGAGTATTTTTACGAGTTGTGCCGTATTTTGAGGAGCTCGCAGGGCGAGTCAAAATACAAACAAAGTACAATACAAAATAAAACAAAATACAAAACGTCTTATAAGAGCTTTATTATCCAACACGCCAAATTGTTATTTCAGTGCGGGCGAATTTCGGGGATATTTCTGGAGTACAAATATCGCATGATATTTGTACTTGTCTCGCTCGTTATTTGTACTCTACAAGCACAGTTGGATAATGAACTGAATTACTGAGTTCCATTAAAAAAACGTAATAGTTTCACGCTAAGCCAATGTCTTAAAAGTCGTTTCAGGATTTCTTTCTAAGTTTTTTTCATGTCAAGACCCAGGTCACGTCAAGTTCTGTGATAATTTATTTGAAGAGTACTCAGTTGTGACGCAAATTCCTTGGGAGTAAAAATAACAGTTTGCGACGTGATCAGAATTCAATGTTTTCTCCTATTATAACCAGGTCAAGTGATATTCTGACAGACAAAAAAAGTCTACAGCGGAAGCTACACCAGACGAAAACCGAAAAATCGAATTGATTAGCTTAATAGTAATATCGTACACTTTTATTACGTAACGATAATCTATGCCAGTGCATTGAAGAAGCCGGTAAAAAAGTTACGGCCATGTGCTCTCAATAACAGCGAGTCTGATGATCGTTAAAAATGCATCATACTACTTTCTTTACGCAAAGTTAATTGTATGACCTACACTTCGTTAGGCGCATAAGTGCATGTGTTGTTATGATTGTTAAAACCAAGAGAATAGATAACATTTTGACACGCAATTTGCAGAGTTTGCTAAAAACATGTCGGAAACAGGTCAATTAATTCTAATGAAAAACAAAACTTAAAAACAAGGAAACGTAAATCTTTCTTATTATCATAATAGCATATCATAAGTCTAATGGATGTATTTTCAGTGAGTAGGTTAGGCTTTAAAAGCTGTTTACAAGATGCCCGCCCACGTTTCTGTAGCGCAATCAAGCACTAGAGGCTCGTAATGTTTAGAGAGTATACTTGTTTTTCTTAGTTTGTGCGTAATCTTTGCTTAATTTCAAGGCTCTCAAAGAGTTGGGCATAATACGCTTGTCACTTATAGGCAGTTTCCTTGACAGACCTTGACAAGAGGAACAATGCGTTTTACATTAGCCACTAATTTTTTTTTTAACTTGTGAATAAATGTCGCGGATCAGTGGAATTATCTCTTTAAGAAATTTAACTTAACAACTTCACACATTTTAAGTGTGGGGTAAACGCCGGCTCATGCAACCGTACTGACGCAATATCTACGAGCTCGATGAGGAAACTTAGGTGTGTTTTTTCAAATATACTGAAGCAATATTCAGAATCAATCAATGTTAATAAGATCTGTGGTCGTTGTCTGAAAATCGACGGGTGTCTGTTACAAAGAGGATAAAAAAAACCAGCGTGGCACACAGTTTGTTACAGTCGACTCAGCGATCTACATCAACGAAATACTTATATAATTTAGGGATTTCAAAACTACAGATGGTAAACAATGGAAAAATTAACCGTGTTGTATACTGTTATCAACTTATCTGTCCTTGTTTTGAATCGACTGTGTTAAAGTTTTATTAGAACAGTTGTTAAACTGTTGTTTAGCTGACACCATCGGGTGTCGAAGACATAAATTGTGGACTGAGTCTCGGGTTTCAACAGTTTGCTCGTGTACTCCACAGGAGGACAATGTAATAGCTGGTCCTTTATTTGACAAGACTGACAATTTGAAACGATTAGAACTCTTTAACGGTCATTCGGTAGTGAGCGAGAACTTAGAGAAGTGGAATCAACTAAACCACATCAATGGTTTGCTCCAAAGTAGACAGCCGTGACCAGATGAAAAATATGGACGGCGATAGAGACAGCGGGAACTTTGGCAAAAGCAAAGCTATTGACATCTTAACCCCAGAGGGAAAGACACTGAAGATGTACATACCGGACAGTACAACGATAGAATGTATAAAGATTGACTGCGAACTTCTTTGCGGAATCCCATCCGACCTACAACTCGTTAAACATCAAGACAAAGACCTGGGCAACGATGAAACGATTGCAAGTCTTAACATTTCTGACGGGTGCACTTTGAGAGTAACAGTTCCACAATGGTGGCAGAAATTCATTTCAACGTGCTACAAAGGAGACGTACAACAAGTCAAAAAAAGAGCTTTTGTGAAAATGAATCAAGTCTCGCGCGAAGAACGAAACTTCACTGCGGCATTCATTGGGGCAGTGAAGGGGAACCACAATCTAATGTTCGCAACGTGTGCGGGAAGGAATATGAATCTACACACCAAAACTAAATTGAGCGGGAGAAATCTTCTCCATGCTGCAGTATCTGGCGGCAGCACAAGTTGCGTGGCGAATATTTTTATGAACGGGGGCAACGCTTTGCTTGAGGCACCGGATAATACAGGCGAAACACCAGTAAAAATGGCGGAGAAATTGTACGGCGCATCTGGCGATCTTGTGAAATTTTTAAACGTTTACCTCGAGCTCCATCGGCGCGATGCAAAAAGTTCTGGTTCTTCTAATCGCTTCTGGGACAACCTCGAGCGAAACAATGACAGTTCAGGTGGAATTAGCGCGGATGATGAGTTTGATAATGGGGAAAACAGCCGGTCACAATCTAATGAAAACATTAACGGTCAGCTAGAGGATCTTTCTCTAGACTCTGATGAACAAACAGGTGAGAAAAAAACGACAAACGGCACCGAAACCAAATTTTTCAGCAACAACACGGCCACTCCATTAACGAGAGTAAACATTGAGGACTATGACGCTACAACGGGTGAAAACGCGTCACACGTAGAATTTGACGATTTAACAAACTCTGACAATGAACAGATGGGTGCAAATTTCGAAAACGAAAGCTCCAGCAAGCAATGTAATGTACCCAAGAGTGACACGGGATATTACAGTGGTAACAATCAAAGTATTCGAAAAGATGCACCTCGTGTCACGGAGATGCTTTGGAATGAGCATTTGTTTACACAAGCGAACACACCTCCAGCGGGATCAACTACAGACCACGAACTAAGCTTAGCACACAACCGTTCAGAAGAGGACGCGGAGGTTACTAGTGTGTCATTACTCTCCACTGACCCAACCTATGCTGACTCTAATGAGCCAGACAGGAGAGCCCACCTCCGAAATGAGGGTCTCAAGGAACAAAGGAGAAAAACAACAACCACGGAGAGGCCAAATTTAGAAATCCTTTTGTCCATAAGTTCCGAAAGCAGTGCCCCGGTTCTTTGGATTAGCCCTGGAAATGAGCCACACAATAGCGAAGGTTTCGTGAACGAGTCACGTGACTATCGACAGGCCAACGAAGAAAACGAGAACGAGCCAAAAGACAAACAATGTTGTGCGATCAAGGAGACTGGGGTAGTTAATGCATGGAACGACCAAGCTACCCCGCAAATGACCATATCTTCGGAAAAAAGCGACACCGATACTGTTTACTCTCCGAAGCCCCTCAGAAGAGCCCAATTGAGGAAAAAGTCGATCGTGGAGCAGCAGAGGAGGCGTCGATCCCTGGCTGGAAGACCGAACCTGGAGGAACTTATCCGAAAACACGAAGAAAAATCTGAACAGGAGGACGCTTTGGAGATAGGGGAGGAGGAAGGCTCTGGTGCAATGGGTTCAAACGAGACAGGGCCATTTGCTTTGGTTACCACGACAGAAGATTCTTTTAAACTAAAATGCAAAGAGAAACTAGATGATGCAGACTCTAAGGATAGAAGCCTAACCACAATAAAAAGAGAAAAAGAGAAAGGAAACAGTGATAAGGAATCGAAGGGAAAAAATGTTTCTGCCATGGACTATCAAGAAGACGAGTCTCCTGTTTCAGCAAGGTACGTTCTACAAATGTGGCAAAACCAAGCCCAGGAAAATGTCAAGTCTGCCGAAAATGCCTTGTCAGGTGACGAAATGGACAGTAGTTGCTCACCGAAAATGCCAAGGAGAGCCCTTCTCAGAAAACAGGTGTTCATGGAGCAAAGAAGGAAGCGGTCAGCCACTGAAAGACCGAATCTTATCAAGCTTATGGATTCTCGCAGAAAAGAGGACGATGAAGATGAAAAACCTGGCCATGAAGAAATCGAAATGGTTCGACAAGAAGAGAGAGAGACGGATAAAGACAACAAACACAATGACTTTGTCATTCAAGCCGATCAAGAAAGAGCTCTCAAGTCAGACTTTTCATCTGCTAATTCTGGTGAGAGTGCATCGATGAAGGAGCGGAATCTGGAATCTAAGAAAGCACCGACGCAACAACCATTAACAGGAACGTCACAAAAAAGAGTTTCGACGAGGGTTACACAGAGACGCTCTAACGATGGCCATTTACTAGAAGCTCGTGCCAGGAAGGGCAAAAGAAGCAATTGGTCTTGTCCTAGTGGTGACGAATCTGAAGTAAGTGAGAACGAACAAAAGGTAGTCAACGAAACGGTGACGAACATTAAAACGTCCTCGAAAACGCAAAGAAGAAGACGCCTACCCATGGTTCCAAGCAGAGCTATAAAACTGCCTCTCATTAAAATAGAAGACAGTGGCACTTCAACAGGCTCAGACCAAGGGGATACTCATATGTCTAGACGGAATCACGTGCACTATTCTGTGCCTGTGAGTGGTGATGGGAAACCATCCGTTCTGAGTGACAATTTCAACGTTCCCCATCCTCCGGGCGGTCGATCCCGTTCAAGTTCAATGTGCAGTGAGGATTCAGTGTCATCTGGAGAGATGCTAGGCGAGAGAAGCAGGCAAGTAAAGTAATTCAAATGAACCATTCTTTATTCTTAAAAGAAACAAGAGAAAAGCATGATCATTTTCGCATGTTACTTACCTTTGACTTTTGGACTATGAGAGAATTATAGGTTGATTCCAGTACAAAGCAATGAGCTTTCGGCCCAGTGTCGGAAAGAAGAACGTTAATTAAACGAGGAAAAACAAAGGTAGCGGTTTTTTCACCTCCTCTCTTATACAGATAACAACATGAAACTACAGGCCTGAGGAAATAGACATCTTCTATCATCACGAACCGTCAGTGGGGGGGGGGGAAGGAGGAGTTTGTATAATTACAATAAGAATTATTGTAGGTGATTTTCGGTTTCTGTACAGACATGATGTTTCAAACTTGTGGCAAGCTAGAACGAGCGCATAAAGCTAAGTGGAGTGGTCATTACATCATGGATAGTTCACTTAAATTATACCTAGGGAGATAATTTTGAAATTTTTTTCTAGAGGAACATGTCTTTTGCAGGGCTAAAAGTGAGGGAGAAACTACCATTGGTACTCAGCCCATTTCTCTCGTCAAAAATCTTCCAGTCAATCAGAGAAGACAAAGTGTTCCAATAAACACGTTTACCCCAGCACAAAACACAAGCACAACCAGGACTAGAAGGAGTTCTGTTCAAGTAGAGGACCTGGACGAACAGGGGTAAGACGCTAAGAAATACAAACAACCTTAAAGACTTGGCACTCGGTTAGCGTATCCGCACAAAGTCATGCGAGACGCGCTTCTCAATAAAACGAAAACAGAAAATCTCCTGAGACGAGGAATGTCTCACAAGAGAAACTCGATATCTTTTGACAGTCTATTCTCTGAGGGAAGGAGCCTGAAGTCATGATAAAAATTATATCACCCATTTACTTTGATCATTGACCCATTCTATCATCTTCTATGAAATCTTATCTCTTATTTTGTTTCAGATATCAAATAAGCCCCCAACTTCGCGCAAGACTACAAATGCGGGAACAGCCTCGTGAAAACCTACCCTGGAACGAATGGAGGACAGGCAGGAGGCGGTCTAATTCCTTCCCTGACGTTAAAGAGGCTGAAAACTCAGGGCCAATAAACACAAATCAGGGAGAACTTCACAAAGACGAGCGGAGCGACAAACGTGCAGAGATACGCGGCGAGACGCGCAATGAAACACTCGTTGCGTGGAACGAAAAAAGGCGCCCGGAGTCCGCTAGGCATGGAACTCACCGCCGAATGACATTTACTGAATGGCTTGATAACAAAGAAGCGTTAGATAGGTCAAGACCAACATCTGCCCAGAGAAGGAACGTGAATGCAAAAGACAATGTGAACCACCACAGTCAGACAGTGAAGGCGTACAAGGAATGGCTGCGGAAGAAAGACCAAGAGGCTTTGGAGAAAGAGGAGACACTGCGAAGAAGGGGGAAGAAAAAAGTTTACAGGACATACCATAGAAAGTGACTGAGTGCGACTCACGGGTGTAGCACGGCACCACGCCTTCACAAACAATGGTGTGCTTGCAATCACAGTTTTAACGCTATTTCTGACTTCACTTGTCCTTGTATACTTTCATTCTTGTTTGAAGAAAAATGTGTCACGTCTCCGCGCGTATCAATCCAGCCAACCAAATTGAAACAAATCTTGCCCCCCGCATTTTGACTCAGCGAAATTCAGTTGTCACCCAGCTTGTTACGAAATTACAAAGAACCAATCACACAAAAGCCATCGGTAAAATTTGACTTTTGTCCAAGATTGATCGCACTAATTATCCCACGCATGCCTCCTTTAACTTCATATCCGACTGGACTGTTGTACAATTTATGTCTAACGTAATTTCGAGGTAGAATATTCTAATGAGGACACCGTGGTGAAAAGCAACGTGAAAAATTACACTTTTTGCCATCTGCTTCCATCTATCATACACTAAGTAAGAAACATTTGGATTCACCATGAATAAGAAATTTCCACTTTTTCTACAAAAGTGACTTAGGTATTGGAGGAAAAGTAAGAAATATTAGATTTCATTTTTGCCGTTGCAGCTAATGTGATGCTTAAACTTATTGATTATGGTCAATACTGGACTTGCACCCAATGTTCCAGACAACTAGCGACATAACATACAGAGGCTTGATATTTAGCCAGATCTTTGCTCAACAGCAAAAATTGAACAATTTTATTATGTGATCGATACATTGATTCATTCGTTTACTGATAATTATCTTCAGATTGAAATTTTCAAATCGTGGTTATGTATTTGAAAAAAGAGATACATATATCAATCTACATTGAACACAAGTGCAATACGATTGTAATCACGATACACTTATTTTGATTGGTTATTAGTTATGATCTATTGGAGGACAGAAGCACAGATGACGTCACAGTTGACAACTCCTTGCTTTTTCATCGTTGAAAACAAAGAGATTCTATATTGCCATGGGTCTTTTCGATTGTAAATCATAGACAACGTTACATATATCTTATTAATCAAGCGCAAGGGCCGTACTGGGAGAATATCGGCCCGAGGTCTTGACAGTACGGACCGAGCGCAGCGAGGTCCGTACAAAAAAGACCGAGGTCCGATATTCTTCCAGTACGGTCCCGAGCAAGCTTGGTTAATAAGAGATTTATTATACGACTGAAGTTCAAAGGGACACAAGTGCGGTATCATTCGGGACCATTCGGGACAGTGCCCGGTCCAATACT